AAGAAGAAGAAGAAGAAGAAGAAGAAGAAGAAGAAGAAGAAGAAGAAAGAAAGAAAGAAAAAAGAAAGGAAGGAAGGAAGGAAATAAAAGAAAAAAGAGAGGGAGGGAGGGAGAGAGGAAGGAAGGAAGGAAGGAAGGAAGGAAGGAAGGAAGGAAAGAGATGGGAATGAAAGGAAGCAAGGAAGGAAGAAAGAAAGAAAGAAAGAAAGAAAGAAAGAAAGAAAGAAAGGAAACAGAGAAACCGAGGCCCAAGGAAGTGGCTGACCGCCAATCCCTGTGTGGACTGAGGCTCCCAACAGAGCGCTATTTGCCCAGGGAAAGGGGAGTGGTGGCCGGATTCTCAAAGGACACCATGCCCCGGCGCATTTCCCGAGCTCCGCCCACCTGACATTCTGGTGCCGCTTGACATAGAGGCTGTGAAAATTGTTGTCAGGCGTGTGGCGGCGGTCACCACCCTCTTTGAGGCGCTCAATGATGGCCAGCTTCATGCCCATGGATATATGAGCTGGCAGCACCGAAAGCAGCAGGTTCTCCTGGGCACAGAAAGGCAGACCAATGGGAGGACAGCGGAGGCAGGCAGAACATCCCCAGGTTAGCCACTGCACCTCATTTCTTCCCACAGACTCTGCCCACGATGTCATTGTTTCCTGACGGGTTATATGTACACAGGATCGCCCTGATAGAGCACCTGCCCTCCCTGTCACCAAAGCTCCGAGAACTGAGATCCTCAAGGGACCAGTCACATGGGCCACGTGTGCAGGACAAGGTGGGGTTCACAGCAGTCGGGGAAGAAGGGAAGAGGGGACGTAGGTCCCTACCTGCTGGCGCTTCTCCACACGCAGCTTCCGGCGGATCTGGATACACTTGACGGTGTAGATGAAGAGGTCCCGGGAAGCATCCTGCAGCTGGTGCTTGTGAAAGGCCCCCGTGAAGTTCCCACCGAGGAGGATAATGGCGTTGGCCAGAAGCTGAGGGCAGCCAAGGGCAAGCAAGGCTCAGCATGATCCAGCTAGCGCACTTGGTGACAATTGTGCCCCATTGCCTGACCCAAATATTCTTCAAGTTGTTGTTTTTTCCTGGGTTCGGCAGAGAACTGTCCAGGTGGCAGTTGATTCCCCAGTGAGTTGCTATGACCACAGGATCAGAACTTGGGCCTTCTTTGCCCCACCAGACAACATGCTCTATCCGTTATCCCTGGACAGTAGCAGTCCAGGGATGTCAAGTACTTCCAAGGAGATGCTGGCTACCTCACTGAGCTCTGAACCCAGCCACAGAAGGTACAGAACCCAGCTGGCTGCCCAGAGCTCTGACCTCTCCCCCAGAAGTGGCATTTAGGCCAGTCAGAAGGAAGACACGTCCCTGCACCCCAATGATGTGAACTGGGGGCACACTTACTCAACAGAGCCAACATACCAAGACCGGGGTGTTAAGAACCTAGGTCAGGGTCCTGGGGAGAGACACTCAGGGCAGGACCCTGAGCACAGCTAGGGCCTGAGTCTAGAATATTCTTGACCAGCAGTTAAGGCAAACAAGATGGGGCCCTGCCTGCCACCACAGGTCTGCAAACACAGCCCCCAAGCTCAACCTCCACCAGGCCAGAGCCGGCCCCCACCCAGCCTCTGTCGCCCTCCCTCACCTGCAGTCCCAGCTGTGCGCCAGACATGGACGTCTTGGAGGTTCCGGTCACAGCTCCAAACACCAGGAGGTGGGAGACAGTGGAGACCATCCCCACTGTGATGGCTGCCCGCGTGCTGAGGGGCAGCAAGGCATACACCACAAAGACGATGAACAGGAAGAAAGGCACCTGGGGACAGTGCACCCCGAGAGTCAACATGGCTCAGGACCACGTAGGAGGAGAGGTCCTCAGTCTCTCAGCACCTGGGACATCCCAACCCTGGGATCTCTCATCTCTCCCCTACATGTTGAGGCAGAGGAACAGACACACAGCAGGACAGGAAGACCTAAGGTGCCTTGCTCATCGCCTGAATACTGAGTTTCTGTGTCATTGAGCTCAGCTGTTGGTCTAATAACCACTGGAAGGCTGGGATGGAGCAGAGTCACTTATTGGCTCCCCCTTCAGCCCTGCCTGCCTATGGTTTCATGAGCCTGAGCCCATCCAATCACAGCCTGAGTCTACCCAAGTACAACCTGAGCTCGCCCAATCACAGCCTGAGCCCACACAATTTCAGTCTGAGTCCGTCCAATCACAGCCTGAGCCCACACAATCACGGTCTGAGTTCACCCAATCACAGTCTGAGCCCGCCCAATATCGGTCTGAGCTCGTCCAATCACAGAAAATAGCACAGGCTGTGCTCAGAGGATGCCACTTGAAGGCAACTGTGACTGACCAGGCCAGGCTGGTGCAACTCAGCCAAGGTCTCCAGCTGTCACGTGGGACGGCTGTCCTACTGAGTGAACAGCCATCTCAGCCTCGAGCAGGGGACAGGCTGCTCAGGAACAAAGTAACCCAAAGGACAGCAGGTCCAAAGGGGCCAAGCTACTGGAGCAAGGGCTAGTCCTACTCGGTTCTTCCTGGCACTTGAACCCATTGGTACTTTTTTGCCTTCCTGAGTTGCAATTTGGTCATCTTTAATCAAACAAGTTCTATCCAAAATGCCAGATCTCAAAAGGGGCACTCTGAGAAGAGACTCAGTCACCTTGGGGCCATCTTAAACCCAATGTCCTAGCCTGCAGGGAGACCATAAACCCCAAAGCCACAAGCGGGCAGAAGCTGCCGCTGATTGCCTGTTCCAGCTACTTGCACCCGAGCCCAGTGACGTCGACTCCCACCGTTACCTGCTCCCACGCACAGGCTTCGTTCTTCCAGGAGTCCCACACAAGCACGGAGCCGAGCAGCATGAGGCAGAGCCAGGTGAGCAGAGCCAAGGCCTGCAGCCACCGTCGCACCAGGCACTCAACATAGACCAGCACGTAGAGAGCCACAAACAGCGTCAGCAGGAAGAACGCAGTGCCCAGGAGAGCCCTGTGCCTGGGGGGATCCTGGGTAGAGCAAACAGGCAGAGTACTTTGACTTTCTCCAGTGGAGCGCACGTTCCTCCAGAAATCTACCCACAATCACTTAAGCCCCTTCCACACAGCAGTGCTGGTCTCCCCATAACCTGAGGCCTGCGTGCAATCCCATTCACGTAATCCCAGCCATTGCAGCAGCTAGAGCACCCCTACTCTGCCCTAAGAGACCACTGCTCCCCTGTGGGGGACAGGTGCAACCACAGGAGCCAGAACAGGGTTTTCCTCAGGTAAAGCCTCACTTAAGTCTGGGAGGAGAGGAATTTGTGCCTGACTAAAGAACTGGTTTTTTTTGGGGGGGGGGGGACGACACAAAAAGCAGGCACCCCTCACAGAGATGGCACTGGAGGAGAGGTGTAGGTGGGGATAAGGATCCAGATGACAGATGGACCCAGAAGATCCTGGGTCCCCCCCCCTCCCCCCGCCACAGACCCTAAACGTCATGAGGGCAGACGCACCAGCCGCCTCTGGGCAATGACAGGAAAGGGGTGTATGTGTAGTTGCTGCAAGGTCCAGCTGTGCCCTTTCCACTCCACCAGGGCACTGGCTGCCGACACACAGCTGCCTGTAGCCTCTGATATCACTTCAGGAACTTCTGACTGCATTTACAACAATCAATAAGAAAATGAAGAAAAACCAAAACCAGGTTCTCGGTCATATGCCGAGTGACCAACAACGGCACACAGCTGGTGGCTGCAGCAGAGCAAGGGCACAGGTCAGGAGAGATGCCATCTGCCCTGACAGTGGCAAGGAGTCCATGCCAGCATTTAAGAGGCTATGAATTCAAGGCCAGCCTGGGCTACACAATGAGGCCCTGTCTTTAAAAAATAAAAATAAAGAAAAATAAAATGGCAAGGAGGAGGAAGAAGAGGAAAAGAAGGAGAAGGGGAAGTGAGGGAAGGAGAAGGAAGTCGAGGTAAAGGAAAAAAATTCCAAGATCGTAACCAGATTCAGAAAGGAACACAGGGATTGATTGGTGATGTCTGCCGTGGTCGGATAAGGGAAGGAAGTAACATACAAGCCTTGACTCAGATCTTTTAACAGATTGACTTTCATGGTGAAAAAAAAAAAGCTGAGGGTGATTTCATACAATTAATATAATAACTAAAATCAACCAGACTTCAAGATCAAATTCAAATTGACTGGTTTTTCATCCACCTAGCAGTTCACGAAAGAAGAAAACGAAGCTTCAGACAGGAACCATCGTGCCAAAGCTTTCCCATCAGAGCAGGAAGGCCAGAGTGCCCTAGCCGGGGGTCCTTACCTCATGACTGAAGGTGATGCTGATGAGCGCAATGCAGACGGCCACAGCCACCAGGAGGAGCAAGAGCAGCAATGGCCCATGCTGGCTGGTGAGGCGGTACTTCTCATAGAGCTTTGCCTGGTTGGGGCCCTCATCACCCTCATTTAGGAAGTAACGCCCCTTGGCTGGCATCTTCTTCCCCAGTGGCCTAGTCCAGCAGCCTGCTTAGGAGCCCCACGGCCTGAGATACATCTGTCTACTGACACTCTTGAATGTGGCCCAGGCCTCTGACCTCTCTGAGGCTAGCAGTCAGGACTGGGCAGAGGCACCCAGAGCCTGTGGCTCCATGGGCACATAGCACCGGCTCCAGCCACTGAGTCTTGGTCACTGGCGTCTTCAGGGTGTCTGGGATGGGCTGACAGGACCTTCCGGGTCCTCAGATCTGTGGAGACAAAGCAGATCAAAAACACTTGATGCCCACGGAACAAATTAGGGAAGGGCAGACATGAGGGGAGGTGGAGCCATTTTCGTACAGTACCTGGGCATGTGTGAATTCAGAGTCATTAGAAATGGAATTATGGAAGCCAGGGGTAGCGGTACTAAGGAGGCTGAGGTAGGAGGGTTGTAAGTTTGAGGACATCCCATGCTATATAACAAGACCCTGTCTAAGGAAACTCCCAGCCCTGTTACACTAATCACTTATTAAGGGCATATGGGCACATAACTTCTGGGCACTGCAGTGGATGGCACAGAGCCACAGTACCTAAATCACCCTGGAGACCAGCACGGCACACAGGCCCTCAAAGCCCGACTAAGCCACTTCCTGTTTGGTGACTGACTCCCCAGTATCATCTGAACAATGGAGGCTGGGCCACATACATTTCTTTTTCTAGGTGGCTCCCTAGTGATCTCCACACAGCTTGTAGCTCAGCCTTCCTTGGTTCCCCGGGCTTCAGTAGAGTCACCGGCCATATCAGGTGAGATGATGCGCTCTGTCCCCAGGGTCCCAGTGTGAGATGATGTGAATGACACACTCTCTGGATGCCTGGGGCTCCGTCTGTGTCTTCAGGTCTATAGGGTCCCAAACCAAGATCCTGGCAGCCTGGGATTTAAGGACCGTCTCAGGATCCAGGTGGTCTGGGGAGGTTGAGGAGCCACAAGCTCAGCTTCCACATGGCTAGCTTCAACCAGGGCAACCCCCTGTACCTGAGCTATGGCAAGTATCCACATGAGACCATGCTTTCTTTCTTTCTTTTTTTCTTTCTCTCTTTTTTAAATTTTTATTTATCTATTTAAGGTTTTTTTTGAGGCAGGGTTTCTCTGTGTAGCCCTAGCTGTCCTGGAACTGGTTCTGTAGATCAGGCTGGCCTCAAACTCAGAGATCCGCCCAACTTTGCCCCCTGAGTGTTGGGATTAAAGGCATGTGCCACCACTGCCCGGCTCATTTTTATTTTTAATTATATGTGTGTGAGTGTGTGTGTGTGTATGTTGCCCAGAGGCCAAAAGAAGGCATCAGATGCCCTGGAGCTGGAGTTACAAGCAATTGTGAGCCACTCAACGTGGGCTATGGGAACTGAATTCAGGTCCTCTGTAAGAGCCGCCAGTACTGCTGGGTAGTGGTGGCACATGCCTTTAATCCCAGCACCCGGGAGACAGAGGAAGGCAGATCTCTGTGAGTTCAGGGCCAGCCTGGTCTACAAGAGCTAGTTCCAAGACAGGCTCCAAACCTACAGAGAAACCCTGTCTTGGGAGCGGGGGAGCCCCAAGGACTCTCAACCACTAGCCATCTCTCCAGTCCCAGACGTGGTTTTTCTTGTAGGTTTGTTGGTTTTTTTTTTTTTGTATGTTTGTTTGTTTGTTTGTTTCTATTTGAGACAGGGCCTTACTATATAGCCCTAGGTGGCCTGGAACTCACTTTGTAGACCAGACTGTACTCAAACTCAGAGAACCACATGCCTCTCAAGTGCTAGGATTAAACACTACATCTGACTTGAGATGTGTTTTCTCAAAAGGACTCACAGACACAGAAGTTTTTTTTTTTTCTGATACAAGGAGTTGAGCCCGGACCCTCACATATGCTGGGCAAACAGTCCGTTGTGGACGATAGCCCCAGCCCTCTCTTTTCTTTATAGTTTGAGACAGGATCTAGCCAAGACACCCAAGCTGGCCTTGAACTCATTCTGTGGCCCAAGTAGGCCTTGAACCTGCCATCCTTCTGCCTCAGCCTCCTGTATAGCTGGGATTATAGGTATGTGCCAGCATGCCTGGCCCACTGACACAGATTTATGAAGTCTGCAAGTCCTACCTCATAGGACAGAAAGCAGTCAGGGAGGGACAGACGGCCTTTACTACAAAGTTATAGTCAGGTGTTGTAGTTTAGCGGTGGAGAGAATGGACTACAATATACAACAGACCCATGTGGGAGTTTATTGATGGGGGCGGATGGTGAAATAAGAGGTCGTGCCTGTTGGCAGGGGAAGGAAAGTGAGGCAGAAGAGAACAAGTGACGGGCGGAGGTCGCTTTTAAAGGGACCTTGGCGCATGCGTACAGAGCCTTACAGCGTCACGCACCGCATGACGTAGTGGCGGGTGACCGTAGGCTGGCTAGGCCTTTGCCTGAATACTGACAGATGCATCTTGCCAGGTGACAGGGGGCGGGCCAGCATAATGCCTGAATGCTAACAACAGGTGGACTCCAGGCTGGCTGTGCTCACCACAGACCCCTCTATGCATCATCCGCCCATCGACACAACGTGTATTCCCAAGGGGCTTCTCAGCCACACTTGTGATGTGCCAGCTCGAGATACCTCCTTGTGGCTCAGGCTGTGACAATATTCTTGCTTGTCAACTTGACTACATCTGAATTCAGCTAAAAAGTAAACATCACACACCTGTGAGGGACTTGTTTTAATTACGTCATTTGACATGGGAAGTCCCTCCTTTAACCTGGATCTTTTGAGGTGGAAAGAGCCACCTTTAATCTGGGCCACACCTCCTGCTGGCAGCCTGTAGAAAGGGGATGTAAGAAGGAAGCTTTTACTCTCTGCCTGCTCGCTCTTGCTCTCTCTAGCAAGTCCATTCCCTCACTGGCATTAGAGCCTACTTCTTCTGGAGTCCAGTGTGTACTGAAGACCAGCCGAGACATCCAGACTTGTGGACTGAGCAGTTACTGGATTCTTGGACTTTCCATTGGTAGACAGTCATTGTTGTAGTAGCTGGACCACAGCCTGTAAGCCATTCTAATAAATATATATAGGAGATAGATAGATAGATAGATAGATAGATATGTATATATCCAGTATATTATACTATATTTGGTATATATCTCTGTCCCATATATACAAATAATATATGTTCAAAAACATTTTATATTTCTATATAGTCTAATAAATCCCATATATATTTTTTTTCGGTCACTAAGTTCTGTTCCTGCTGTGGGACAATGGTCTGTACCCTGTCACTTGTATTTTAAATAAACGCTCATTGGCCAGTAGCCAGGCAGGAAGTAGAGGTGGGGCCATGAGAACAGGAGAATTCTGGGAAGAGGAAAGATTCAGTCTGCAGTCATCACCCAGCAGCAAAGGAAGCCAAACACAGAGCAAGCAAGATGTGACTGCCTTGCCGAGAAAGGTACCAAGCCACATGGCTAACAGACACAAGAATAATGGGTTAATCTTAAGATGTAAGAATTAGTTAATAAAGGGACTAGAGAGATGGCTCAAAGGTTAAGAGCACTGACTGCTCTTCCAGAGGTCCTGAGTTCAATTCCCAGCAACCACATGGTGGCTCACAGCCATCTATAATGAGATCTGGTGCCCTCTTCTGGTAGGCAGGAGTACTTGCAGACAAGCCAAAATCAAAGTCAAAAACAAACAAACAAGCAAAAAACAACAACAAAAAAACTGGAAGGAATGTTGTATACATAATAAAATAAATAAATCTTTTTAAAAAAGAATTAGTTAATGAGAAGAGCCTGAGATACTAGGCCAAATGGCAGTGGGACCTGGTTTCTGTCCCATCAGGTCCCACAACCATTTAGTCCCAAATAAACACACAGAGGTCTACATTAATTTTAAGCTGATTGGCCTAGTAGCTCAGGCTTCTTATTAACTATTATAACTATTATAATTTTGCTACTGTTGTGAATTGTAATGTAAGTATCTGATATGCAGGGTATTTGAAATGCAACCCCTGTAAAAGGGTCATTCGACGACCCACAGGTTGAGAACCACTGCTCTAAAGAACCCCAACTTATACACAGGCTGACCTTCCCGACCTCTAAGAGGAGAAACAAAAAGAGAGCAACCACCCGCAGACTCCACCTGATGGCAACTGCCCTATTGCAATAGAAGCCTCTTATAGAAGAGCCATCTTGTACCAGGAACTGGTGACCCCCTGTAGGTATGCCTCACTTTGGGGCGACAGGGTAGAGGGTACAGGGTGGGCAGGCTACTGGACATAGCGAGACTCAAAGGGGTCACAAAGGGCACAAACGCCAGCTGCGAGTAGATGCTCCAAAGAAAAGTGTCCAGGAGGGAACAAAGCCCTCGGTGGCTGAAGTATAGGGTTCCAGGGAGCCTGCTCCTGCCCACTGCTGGGAAGGCCCTGAAGGCTACTCCAGCTCTGCCTCCCTCTGCCTTTAGCACAGGCCCAGACACAGCAGGGGGAAGCCTAGGGACTTGGGACTATACCCAAGCAGGTGTCCATAAGCACCTATCTAGTCGGGGTCCTGCTCATGAGCCCAGGCTTCCCAAGGCCTGTAGCCATAGGCAGACTGCAAACTGCTAGCTATGAGAAAACTGCCTCCTGCAGGCTGGCAGTTCGCCGCCTCTATATCTAAGCAGGCCATTCTGGAATCCACGGGAAGAGACTAAGCACCAGCTGGACGTGCCCAGCCCTGTGCTGTGGGCTGCAGGACAGGACGAGGCCCATCCTGAGCGGTACCCAGCTCTGCAGTCACCGCGCACACATCCAGCCCCTTCCTAACAGCCACAGAGCTGAGCCCAGAGAGGCACAGTGGCTAGTCTAAGATCACACAGCTGGAGGTGCTTGCCAGAAGGACTAAGACTCAAACCACAGCTCCTGAGCCCAGGCTTCTCCACTGCCACTCTAGGGGACAAAACCAAATGCCACAGGCACACAAACTGCAGTCCTGCCTGACCCTCTGGCTCAGTGCCAGACACCAGTGGGCAGGGACTGCTGGACTGAGAAACCCCAGACACCACTGGTTGAGACAGCTCCAGAGCCACTTCTATAGGCAAAGCCAGGCTGTGGGCAACCAGGACACGTGTGTGGTGTGAGGGCACGCACATGCACGCTCCAACACATGCGCATGCCTCCTCTGGTCGCAGACATGACCCGCCTCCCCAAGCACATAGCCAGGCAGAGGCACTGTTGCAAGAGCCCCCACCCCTGAACCCATGGGAAACCAGGCCTGGTAAA